AAAAAGGCTTACACAATATATGCAATATGACAATATGTCACTTACTCAATTATATAATCATATGTATGGAGCATGGGGGCATGTCCAGAGCCACAAATTTGATGGCACCAACTGAAAGCAAAATCACCTTCTTCCTGGATGTGCCCACATGCCCATATACCCCTAAATCTTGTGTGTGTGTGTGTGTAAACTGTTTGTAACTCCAGCGCTTTTGTAAACATTAATTCGCTTCAGGACGTATACCATATATACCACATATATATCTAAAACTATATATAACCTATATATTCATATATACTTATGATAATCAATGTTAAAGTCCTATTTATGTTGCGTCTTATTGTAACCAAAAGTTGACTCAGTGGAAGATTGGACAAGTTCCCATATATCTTGGCTTGATCTTTGTCAATCGATCGACTCCCGTCTCCCACTGCAGTTTTTGTTTGTGTTGCCAAGTCAAAAGATTCGGCACATACTCCTTGCAGTCCGCACTGCTCCAGGGCTAGACGTGGACACGCCAGAGTTTATCATCCAAGTCTCACAACAAATACTTAATCGGCAATCGCTTTCTTACCACATATTTTTTATGATATTTAACCGAAACCCTATCTTATCTATGCACGCTTATATCACTGCGCTTGCGGCAACTGATCAATCCATCAACTTCCACTTATTTTACTACTCCCCCTTGCAGAGGATGAGCTAAGCAAGTCGTCGGTGATTAAGTCGCCGGCCAAAGGGCGCAATCGCAATGGTTCTACCACAGAAATGGCTGTGGATCAGCTGCAGGCCAGCGAGAAGCTTATTGCAGGTAAGATCCGGCAGAGGGAGGTCCTAGACCCACTCGCTTATCGCTTGATTCCCATTAGAACTCAATGAGACCTGGGAGGAGAAACTCAAGCGCACCGAGGAGATCCGCTTGCAGCGTGAGGCGGTCTTTGCGGAGATGGGCGTGGCCGTAAAGGAGGATGGTATCACAGTGGGCGTATTCTCACCCAAAAAGACACCACATTTGGTTAACTTGAACGAAGATCCCAATTTGTCGGAGTGCCTGCTCTACTACATCAAGGACGGACTCACACGTCTGGGCACACATGAAGCTAATGTTCCGCAAGACATTCAGCTGTCCGGCTCTCATATCCTCAAGGAGCACTGCACCTTTGAGAATCGCAACAGCACCGTGACCCTGTTGCCCCACAAGGATGCCATCATATTCATTAATGGCCGAAAGCTTGTTGAGCCCGAGGTCTTGAAGACAGGCTCGCGCGTGATTCTGGGCAAGAATCACGTGTTCCGCTTCACCAATCCTGAACAGGCGCGTGAGCTGCGCGAAAAAATCACCGAGAACGAGGCAGAGAATGAGGTCGAGAAGGCGGACACACAGCAAGTCGATTGGAACTTCGCTCAGTGCGAGCTGCTGGAGAAGCAGGGCATCGACCTGAAGGCCGAGATGAAGAAGCGCCTCGACAACCTGGAGGAGCAGTACAAGCGCGAAAAGCTCCAAGCCGATCAGCAGTTCGAGGAACAGCGCAAGAACTACGAGGCGCGCATCGATGCCTTGCAGAAGCAAGTGGAAGAGCAGTCCATGACCATGTCCATGTACAGCAGCTACTCGCCCGAGGATTTCCACCAGGAGGAGGATGTTTATAGTGAGTAGAGGCTGACGAGTAATGGATAAGTATATCATTGTTCTGCTCCGTTCCACAGCCAATCCCATGTACGAGTCGTGCTGGACCGCACGCGAAGCAGGGCTCGCTGCCTGGGCCTTCCGTAAGTGGCGCTATCATCAGTTTACATCGCTGCGCGATGATCTCTGGGGCAATGCTATATTCCTCAAGGAAGCTAATGCCATTTCAGTGGAGCTCAAGAAAAAGGTCGCTATCTGGCAAATTTCAATGAGGTGCGCCTATTAGACAGTTCCCTTCTTCTGTTTCTTTCAGGTACAATTCCAGTTTACCTTGTTGACCGACACCTTGTACTTGCCGCTGCCACCGGAGCTGGCCTCGAGCGTGACACCCATGCAACCGGAGGATGAGTACGGCGCACCGCCAGTCTCGAAGACTCTAGTCGCCGTTGAGGTCACAGATACCAAGAATGGAGCTACCCATTATTGGTCACTGGAGAAGCTACGGTGAGCAAATTAGACCCCAGGCACTTTTTGCTGCTCACATTCATTCTTCTCTTTGCACTGTTTTGTTATATTCTTGCAGAGAATAGGCTAGAAGGTGTATTTATAAATTAAAAGTCATGAACAGTAAACACTGATTAAATATAAATACTTTAAGGAGTTAATATTTGCTCATAGTAAACATAGTATAGAGAGTTCTCTTTGTATAATACCAATCCATTTATCTGCAAGGATATAAAAACTTCGGCAAGCCCGAAGTGGACTTCTTGGTTTTAGAGTTGATTTCTGGTATAGTTTTGAATTTATTATTTCACTTGATCATTTTTTTTCTGGTACGTGCATGGTGGTTGTAGTTCTTTACATTTGCTTAACGTAATATTTGAGAATTCAACTAAATGAAAAGCCGGTCCAAGACGCTGGCAAATATCTTCACCGCCACCATTTACGCCCTTCGATACTCATCGCCATTGCCATTGCCATACACTGAGCACAAAGCTAGTTTAGGCTTTAACCAATGCTGATTTGTACTCTGTTTTCTTTTCTGTTGGTTCTCCTGACATTCCAAAACTCAATCATGTTGAAACCCCACCTCTCGTTCAACCCATCCACTTATCCCCCGAATCCCCCTAAAAGCTATCGCCTCGAATTGATGCGCCAAGTGTACAATGTCGAGAGTCCGCCCTCGTCCATGCTCTTCGATACGTCCAGCATTGAGGCGAGCGGCAGTGGAGGAGCAATAGCAAGGGAGCTGGCGAAGCCTTCGGCTCCCTCGACTCAGTACCAGGCTCATCCTCAGCCGCAGTCGCCGCCTCAGAGTCAGCTCCAGTCTCAGCAGCACATGGAGCAGCCCGAGTTGAAGCCTCAGCTGCGTCAGGCGTATCCCACGCGTTTGACATTGGCCAATCTGATACCTTCTAGGTTTGCTTTCCCTTTCGAGGTTTATCATTTGTATGTATTGTAGCTGCTTTCTTAATGTCTGCATGATCCTTATCCTTTAGCAAATCTTAATGTGGCTTTCGATGTAGTCCTCTAGGCTTTATTCTCGTATATATGTATGCTCGTATTTCTTTATCATTTGCCCTTTCACTTGGCTTTCTTTGCTCGGCCTTTAGCAATGCGCACTGTTTGCTGTAAATAGCTTGGCATTACGGACGTTCTATAACTTTATCTTTTCATACTTGCTATTCGTTTTAGACAACGCTTGGAGCTAATGCGCGAAATGTATCACAACGAGGCTGAGTTGAGTCCCACCTCGCCGGACTACAATGTGGAGAGTTTGACTGGGGGCGACCCATTCTACGATCGCTTCCCGTGGTTCCGCATGGTTGGTCGCTCCTTCATCTACTTGAGCAATCTGCTCTATCCGGTGCCCCTGGTCCACAAGGTGGCCATTGTCAATGAGCGAGGCGATGTGCGTGGCTATCTCCGCATTGCTGTGCAGCCGGTGCTGGATGAGGAGTCCATCGACTTCAACAATGGCGTGAAGCAGTCGGCTCGCCTGGTCTTCAATGAGGACGATGCCAAGCCCAAGTACCGTGCGCTCAACGAAAAGGACGATGTGCAGCGTTACATAGATAACGGTGGACTAGATAGCAAACTGGAAGGTGAGTTAGCAGAAGATTTGATTCAAAAGCTTTTCATTTATTAACACATCATTTTTATAGAACTTGAGGATGCAGACTCTGGTCGCGGCATTGACTCCAACTCGGCCTCGGAGTATCACGAGCAGGCCGAGGAGCCTGGCGAGCACTTGCAGATCGGCAAGGAGTTCACCTTCCGTGTGACCGTGCTGCAGGCCACGGGCATTGGCGCCGAGTATGCCGACATCTTCTGTCAGTTCAAGTGGGTTTAAGTGGCCATAAATTAAATTTGATTAATCCTTAACTTGAATTGCTATACGACTTCACAGCTTCTTGCACCGCCATGAGGAAGCCTTCTCCACAGAGCCGGTCAAAAACTCTGCTTCAGGCGCTCCACTCGGTTTCTATCATGTGCAGAATGTGCGTAATCACTCGAATTCCCTTAAGTTATATATATATATCTCATGCTTGTTATGTTTCTCTTTAGATAACTGTGCCCGTCACCAAGTCTTTTATCGAGTATCTGAAGACGCAGCCCATCATGTTTAAGATCTTTGGGCACTATCAGACACATCCTCTGCATAAGGACGCCAAGCAGGAGTTCGTTTCTCGTCCACCACCAAGACGCATGCTGCCACCAAGCATACCCATTAGTCAGCCAGTGCGCAGTCCCAAATTCGGACCGCTGCCCTGTCCGCCATCCTCCACGGTCTTGGCGAAGCATGATGTTCTGGTGTGGTTCGAGATCTGTGAGCTGGCCCCCAATGGCGAGTATGTGCCATCGGTAAGCGACTCTCTGCCACGTCTGCCTGCTCGCTGTTAGATTAATGACTTCCCTCTCCTAGGTGGTTGAGCACAGCGATGATCTTCCCTGTCGCGGACTCTTTTTGCTACATCAGGGCATACAGCGACGCATCCGCATTACCATTGTGCACGAGCCCACGCCAGAGGTGAAGTGGAAGGACATTAATGAGCTGGTGGTTGGGCGCATTCGCAATACGCCCGAGTCTTCGGAGGAGCAGGACGAGGATGCCTGTGTGCTCTCGCTGGGCTTGTTCCCGGGCGAGGTTGTCGAGGTGCCCGGCGACGATCGCTCCTTCTATCGCTTCGAGGCAGCCTGGGACTCCAGTCTGCACAATTCAGCTCTACTCAATCGCGTCTCGCAGGGTGGCGAAACCATCTACATTACGCTCAGCGCCTATCTGGAAGTGAGTCCCAATGATTTACCCACTAAAGAGAGCCGTATTAACTTTTCCTTTAGCTGGAGAACTGCGCTCGCCCAGCCATTATTACCAAGGATCTCAGCATGGTCATCTATGGACGCGATGCACGCATCGGTCCGCGCTCACTAAAGCATCTATTCTCCGGCCAGTACCGCAATCCGGAGGCCAATCGGCTCTCTGGCGTCTACGAGCTGTCGCTGCGCAGAGCATCCGAAGCAGGTAGTCCAGGTAGCAATTCTCATTGTAGTTGTACTCGTCCTTTGTTTTCGCTCAAGTCTTGAATATCTCATTCACTATGCTTATCTCTTTTATCTCCACGATCCGCTTTATAGGTGTTCAGCGCCGACAGCGCCGTGTCCTGGACACCAGCTCCACGTATGTGCGTGGCGAGGAGAATCTGCATGGCTGGCGGCCACGCGGCGATTCGCTGATCTTCGATCATCAGTGGGAACTGGAGAAGCTGACTCGTCTGGAGGAAGTGGGACGCATGCGTCATTTGCTGCTGCTGCGTGAGCGCCTGGGCATGGACACCAATCCCAATCCGACAACCAAGACCGAAAAGGACGTTTGCAATCTGGCTGCCCGTGCGGCCACTTCGCCCGTGCACATGGTTATCCCACAGTCGCCCCAAACGCCAGTCAAGGACGCGCAGCAGATGCTGCCAGAGCGTGAGTACAATCAACGCGAGCAGGAACTCATGCTAAAGTGCTTGAAACTTGTGCAAGGTAAGTCGAAAATCGTGGAAGCAACTCCGTGACCATAGATTAATGAGTATCTTTGATCCTAGGTCGTTATATCAAGTCCGAAACGAACGATACGCAGACCCAGTCAGATGTTTCGCCCAGCGATGAGGGCTGCGCAGATATGACCGTCAGTTGCATCTCCAGCAATTCCATGGAGTACGTTCAATAAGTATTTAACGCATGCTTTATCCATTCCCATCTTTGCTTTCGTTCGTTAAACACAAACAATTGGCTACACAATTTACCCACCTGGCAACATGTTCATTGCGGCTTAGTTTGTGATTATATTTGAACGATATAGTCGAGCTGAGATATTTAATTACGTGGGAGTGCTTGAGTACGACTTGACATCAGTTCATCTGATCTGGAGTTATTAAAGAAGGCTTAACTTGAGTTTACCATAAAATGTAGGCTTAGCACGGAACAAGGACAATCAAGTATAGAGGACTTAAAAACAGACTGAAAACTACATAGAATAAATTATATAGACGAATATTGGAAACGTTGAAAGATATACGTTGTAGATCTTAACAGTGATAGTATAAAATATCATACGATATGAGATTGGGTCTCAACAATAGTTTTCTAGATTCAAGTTGAGCATGAAACTTGTCAGGGAATGGGGTTTGCTTTGCATAGATAGCTGATTTTTGGTTCCGCTAGCTAAATGCACTCACCAAATAACACTCATCCGCCGAATCAATATATACTCACCTACTCTTCAGCTAAACTATCAAACTCAAAAAACAATTTCGTTATTTGTTTCCGTTTATGTTTCTTTTTTATTTTGAACACAAATTAGAAACAACAAATTTGTAATTCGACGCAGGTAACTTTGTTTTTGAATCACTTTAGTTCCTTGAACTGTGACTAATCTCACATATGTTTGACCATTCACAGATTGTGCTCACCGGATCGCTCCGATGCGCCGAATGGATGGGAAGCACCTGCACCGGCTACACAGCCGGCTCTACCTTTGCGTCTGTATGTGCCCGAGCTGGAGGAGATCCGGGTTAGTCCCGTTGTGGCACGCAAGGGCCTGTTGAATGTGCTCGAGCATGGTGGTTCCGGCTGGAAGAAGCGCTGGGTGGTCAGTACACAAAGAGTAGCTAAGTCATTCTAATTGATTAATCGAAATCTTTATTCCAATCAGATTGTACGACGTCCTTATGTCTTTATCTATCGCTCTGAGAAGGATCCGGTGGAGCGCGCTGTCTTGAATCTGGCCACGGCACAGGTTGAATGCAGCGAGGATCAGGCAGCTATGGTCAAGATACCCAACACCTTTAGGTGAGTTGAGCACAGGGAATTGAAAGAATATATTGCAATAATAAAAGGCCATTTCTGTGGTATATAATGATATAGATGGGGGCCTATCTGGGTAGATATAATATTGATTAATTATTAATTTCTTCTCTTGCAGTGTGGTGACTAAACATCGCGGCTATTTGCTGCAAACACTGGGCGATAAGGAAGTGCACGACTGGCTCTATGCCATCAATCCGCTGCTGGCTGGCCAAATCAAGTGAGTCATCCATTGCTGTAATATATATAATATAGGAAATTTACCACATATTATTACCGCACAGATCTCGCCTGGCGCGCCGCACTCTGGAGCCCGCCTCGCAGACGGCATCGCAGATCCAGGCCAGCAACGCGGTGAATGCAGCCAGTGCGAATAAATGAGATACAATTACGATGGAATCCGTTTTGGTTTACTGAGACGCAAGCTATGGCTGGCTGCAGCGGCTGGGCATGAGCAGGCGCCACAAGGAACAAGCGCCACAGGCAGCTGGCAAATGAGCGTTACATAGCCAAAGATTCCATCGCTAATGTTACGACACACAATATAAGAATATAAGAAAACCAAACACAAAGAAAACAAAAAACAAAAATTCAAGAAAATGAAAACCCGAAATGCAAAGCGTACGTAATAATTAAGTAGAGACAAAAACATGTTTATTGAGTATTGTAATTGTATTTAATTATAATTATTATTTTGTGCTAACGGCCAAAATTAGGCAGCAGTGAGCGTGGCACAGCTATTGTGGCATACTTAGCGGGCGCTCGCAATATTTGGCAATACCTTTGATATATCCACATATATACAATATGTATATGTATGTAAACATATGTTTTGTAAATAGTTTTTATGTTACCGAATTGTATGATAACATATTAGTTAATTTATTATTTAATTGCCGAACAACCTTTCAATTTTCCAAGTGATATTATGTTCGAATTAGAGAGCCTTTGTTTGAACGAAAACAAGAACAAGAACAAGTACAGCACACTCCACACACAAAACAAACAAACAAACAAACAAACATATATATGCATTTTAAAGGAGCAACTAAAGCAAACATATATTAAATCATATATATATTTCTATATATATAAAACAATATTGTATAAAACGTATATATATTTGCTGTTTATACACAAATTTTCAATATATATATATATATTTGTTTAATTAACGCAAAGTCAAGCAAGACATATGAAAACAAAAACTAAATGCAATTACATATACATATGCAACAAATATATATACCTACATATTATGTATGTGTGTATGTTAACGAAAGACCGTACAGTATATAGAACGTAGTGTGGGACTTAAAAAGTAAGCGTACGCTCAGTAATACAAATCTCTAGAAATACAAATTCTATTCTCTATATGTTCGATATATAAATATGAAAAACAAAATGAAATTATAAGGAAAGCCACAAAAGTTATGAACAATGTAAATGGCACGGCAATATACCAAGGAAAAAAAAAAGTTATTTAAGAAAGAAAAAAAAAACACGCTTCAATGCATAGAGTTGACAGCTTACAAGCTTATCGTTTTGTTCATGCCTTAAACCCAGATCCAACTTTCTGTCTATATAGATGTAACTCTTCTAATATTTTTCAATTTCACATGAACCACCTGCAAAATGCTTAAAGCGAACAAAATATTTAGCGTAGTCTAAAAACTTTATCGAAATATATAATGCAATGGCCACCTGTACATTTCTAAGGAACTTTAAAAACGAAAAGAAAAATACAAATAGCGCTTACAATGCAAATTATATGCAGTAATATCCCCAATTAAAAATTATTGATGTAATCCCCTTGGCAGAAAAGAAAAACTCAAAATTTGTAAAACAATTTTTCTCATTTGCATTTGCATTTGCTTGGAGGCACGAGCTTAAGCCGGGAAGAGCGGCGGGCAAAGAGTGTTTGCCGAAGTCGGTGGGTCCCAGCATGGGGAATGGCTTGTACCTGGAGACAAGTGTCGAATATCCCCCTAAAGTGTTGGTAGGCGTTCGCTTTCGTATGTTTTCGGTGTTAGAAAACGTGCAGAACATGAAACGTTAAGCGATCAAGTTTGAGTTTGTAGCGAAATGTAAACATTTGTTAAACTATTATGTAATATTAATTTGGAATTGTAAAATATTAGAGAATTGTAATAACAATAATCATATATAACTATAAAAAAAAAAAAAAAAAAAAAAAAAAAATATATATATATATTTACTCACAATAATGCGCTGATTTATCAAAAAACAAAAGAAACAAGAACAAAGAATTGCACACAGTCAAGGCAAATGAAGCTGAACCGAAGCTAAATCCAAGTATTAGACGATCTATATATTGTTGAGCAAACTCCACTTATAGTGCATATACATATATGAGTATATGGTACATGCAAATACATTTGAAATTCAATATATATATATATATATATATATAAATATATAAAACACTATATAGTTAAACAAAATTGATAACTCGGTTATCTGAGCAGAGAAAATGCGGTAGAGTATTCTTCAGTCGGATTCGATTTTATCAGCAACAATAATTCCAACCGTATGCTAACTGTATGTATGTATAATCCAAATGATATATATATGCAATTGGGCGTATCACTACTAAAGAACTATAAATTAAAACGGCTTTAAATAAAAACTGTAAAAAACACAATTGGAGAAATCTATTTAGATATTTTACATTTTAAATGAAAAAATTATGCCTATAAGAATGGGTAAGTACTATTAATATATTTTCCAACCAGTTCAGCTATTCAAGAGTCAAAAAGATTACGTTAATTTAAAGAATTTAATCAAGGATTGAGGGGTCTGATTTATCATAAGAAGTATTATATATTATATTTACAATATATCTTATATCTGATTTGATTTGATTTACTAGTTTTAAAGTCATCTTTGATATAGCAACAACATCTTATAGATATAACAAAATCAAGAATATAAACGAATAGTCCTTAAATGACGTTTTAAGAGATGTTTATTCCACCGAAGTCAATTATTCCAATATAGTATGTGTATTTCCGATAATATTCGTATATATTTTTAATTTATTTATAGATGTAGTTCTGTTCGTCTGTTAGTATATACTTTAACTTACAACATCCTTTCTCAATCATAAGATTATGATTATAATGCGAATAATAGTGAAAACAATTTTGACATTAAAAATAACGACAAATTATGATTTTGGGAAATATATTAAGTTTATAATCATTTAAGTTTCTTAAAAAAACGAACTTATATAATAATTAATTTATTATTATTATAATATTTTTCAAATTCTATTCATCATTCATTGTCTTCTATTATATAGCGTTTCTTGACTCTGTTTATTCATTTAAATCAATTTCGTAAGTTGAAGGTAGATTCGCCAGGGACTCTGCTATTGTTCTAGGACTCACTTTAAGTACTTTTCAGCTAACATTTGCGACTAAAGACCTTTGGGCTTTAGCGCGGCTAATAAGTCACTTGAAAGTCACAATAGTTCCACACACACAGACCACACTGCGTATGCGTTATGTAAATCCATTCAGAGTGCGCACTAAATCTTCGACACAATTGCGCGCTGAATTGCCGAATAAGGCCAAAGCAATTGTCGGCGATGCAAATCGTCGACTTTACAGGACGTGCCACAAGGGCAAGCCCACAGAGAGAGGGAATGAGGGCCTGTAGGAGATCGAGGCGTGGCTTAAGGTATGCGCATTAGCTTGGCCATGGGCCGGGCCGAGCTGGGGACAAATTTACTGAACATTCGTTCGAGCGAAGAGAAGCAGTGGTAATTAGGCAACTTGTCATTGCCTTTTGGCCATTTGGTCAGTTGACCGTTTGGCATTTGCCATTTGGTAGCTGGTGCCTGGTAGTTTGCTGCCTTTTTCTTCTTCTTCTTCTTTTCAGTTAACCTGCCTGTTGACCATCTCCGTTTTTATGGGCCTTTTGTTGGTTTTTTCTCTGTCTGCTCGCTTAAATGAATAATTCAAAAGTCGACGGGCAGTAAAATCCGCATTTAAGGCGCACAGTTGCCGTTGTGGGCTTTAGTTGTGGTCTCGCTAGTGAATACCCTGTAATCTACTTTCCAATGGGGTATATTGAGTTTTATGATGTGTATGTAGTAGCCGGGTAATTGTGTCTAGGAGCTCCAATGGGGACTTTATGCTTATCAGCTGAGCTCTACAAAAGACGTAGAACATCGTTCATAATTTTTGTTTTGTTTCGATTCAAGTCTGATCAACTGTGAATTCAACCTTTAGTATAGTTTGGTTAAAACATCTAAGTCTAAATAGATATATATGTATAGGTAGTAAGTATAGTATATAAATAGGTATTTGTTAGAATGACTGGGCTTTTGAATAATATAGCAGAGTATCTCATAGTCGACTTTCCTTTACGATTGTATCACCTAGATAGTATAGCGGAATGACTGTATTGACGTCTAAGTTTAGCGAGATGTATCTGAGTACAATCAGTTACAGGGTGTCTGCTAGTCGTTCACGCACGCTGTAGCACTGAGCTAGACATGTTGCAGTTGTTGTTGCTAGTTGCATTGTCACTGGAGTCTGATTGAGGTCAGTGAAATCCAAGCGCTTGACCACTCGCTCTTTTGACTTGTTCGCACTTTAAGAACTGCCAACTGGCAACTGGCTGCAGATGCAGTTGCAAGTGGACTTGGCTTAAATGGAGCTAGTGGCTGGACTGAATCCCCCATTGGAATCGGCTTCGCTGCATAAGGCGCAGTGGAAGACCCTAGAAAGAGGAGCAGCAACAACAACACAATGGGCTTCCGCTTTCCGTGTGTGTAAGACACGTAAAAATAGACACAATTAAATGCAAATCGAAGGCGGATCGATTAACTTGGCAAGCGGCACAGGCGGCGACACAGACATTGACATTGTCAGCGATAGATGGGCAGGGGGAGGCTGCGAGCTGGCGGTCGGGGGGCGCCGTTCGCAGTTCGTCGTGTGCCAAGTGCCGATGCGGCGGCGACTATAAAAGCGAACGCCCAGCAGCGGCAAAGGCGCAAAAACGTGTGAAGAGGACGTTCAGTCAGTTCCGTCAGTGTCCACACGGATCCCGCATTAGTTGTAGAATAGTAGTAGCAGCATGTTCGACTCGAAGATTAAGGTGCCCAAGTACGACTCGGACGCATTCGACAATGTTGAGTACGAGCTGCAGATGAGCTACACCCTGGAGACGGATCGTCGCGTCATGAGCTTCTACGATGCCATGTGGGGCATGGAGGTCACCGGGGGCATCGATCAATTCGAGCCGCTGACCATTGTGAACGTCTCGCCGACGGGTCTGGCCAAGCGCGGGGGCATGCGCATCGGGGACGAGATCACACAGATCAACGATGTGCCGGCCCTGGAGCTGACCTTCAACGAGGCGTTGCAGCTCTTTCGCAGATCCTCGCGATATGTGCGCGTCTATGTCAGGGGGTAAGTGAAACAATAGCTGGAGTCACGCAATCAGTTGATAGCACAATCCTAATCCTTACAGCGATGACGATGAGCCTGGCGAGGAGGATTGGACGTGCGATTGCTGGTTCAAGCCCCGCAAGCCCTGGAGGCGCGACTTTACGCCCATTCAGTGGACCTTCCCGTGGAACGACCGTCGCAAGCCCGTCTACAAGGAATCCAATTGCTTCATGGTGCCCAGCAAGATGGAGGAGAAGATTAGGGCACGGCGTGCTGCCACCTCGGCTGTCCACAAGAAGGAGGAAGCAGCGCCGCACACGCGCTCCCTGACGCCCACACCTCGGCCCAAGAATCAGCCCGGACCCAATCTCCTAGAGAGTGTGCTGCGGCCGCGTGGACCCCCACCCAGGGATTAGCTCGGAGATCAAATATAGCTGTATAGCATGGAAAATGTATATGTATATAAATATGAATATATATATTTATGGGCAGCAGGCAGCGGAACTTGTGCTGCAGTGCGTCCCGCAGCGAAGCGCTTTGACAGGCAACTGCGACAGTTGAAGTGTCACAAGAAGAGGCGTTCTGCTTAGAGATGAGTCCGTGTCGAGTAGGACACGCAAGTCACGTTGAACTTAATAATTTTATTGTATACAAATTCTAAATAAATGTGTAAAAAAATCTCAATATAAATAAATATTAATATTAAATGTAAAAAGAAAGGGGAGTATTGAGAAATATATCAAGTGCTCTATTCAAGTTTAAGTCACGCACCCATCTCAAATTCCGTTGTATAAGCGTAACGGCTAATTTGCACGAAGTTCAAGCCAGATTCTGATAGCGAATGAATTGGTTATGGTAGCTAACGGAAATGCGTCCCAATCAGTGGCATCCATTTCCAATTGGACAACTGACATGTGGAAGTGGCTGATCTCTGTCAACTTGCTGCTACTCGTCTTGCACGCGAGCTGGGCGCAGCGGGCCGTGACTTGTCTGGATCCGGTCTACAGGGACTGCCAGGACTTTTGTGAAGTGAACTGCATAGACGATCCCACCGAATGCCTATATAACTGTCAAAATGGCTGTGGCTGCCTTGAGGCATATGTGGTGCGCAACAATGGCGGCTGTCGGAAAATAAGAAAATGCCAATTCATAGAGCTGAGCACCGAGGACGTGGACACATCGCCCCAACCTTGTGGTGAAGTTGCCGAAGATGTTACGGAAGGCAATGACGATGATGGTCTCAATCTGTTACCATTTGTGCCGTTCAATCGTTTTGAATAATAAAATCTATACAGAAAACTAAGGCAATGCAGATTTAATGACTTACGTCTAGTTTCTTCCCATCGGAAAGTGTTAAGTTCCAGGGATATAAAGTGAGGCTCTTCTCGCGATGGCTCCCATAAAAAAAAAGCAACAAATATATCGAATTTCCAGTCGAAGTTAGCTAATTGGTGCATGAAATCAGTTTGAGCTTTTAACTTGTTTACTACTTGCGACCGTATCTGCTCTCCACAGTCTGGAACTGAACGTTGTATATAAGTAATGTGAGTGCTAAAGCAAGCGAGTAGTTGGTATTTGCTTTTCAGTGTGTGTGCTGAAGACAAGAAATTGTGATCCTAATGGAGCAGTTCACTCTTGAGCAAGCGATGCATCGCGATGATAGATAGACAATGCAAGGATAATGTTAATGTACATATACATACTTATATATATAAATATACAGTTGTAGGCATAATAATAATAGGCTGTACTACACCAAATATAATCCAAATTAAAATTTACCTAGCCCGATATTTAGAATATATTTTTAACGATTCCGCTTATTGAGTCCGTATGGTTATTGAGATGAAAATTCTAGTCCCTAGACAAATTTGTATGAGTATACGTATATGGCTATAGTGTCCTCCAGGTATAACGACGGTGCATTGAGAGTCGTTATAACCGGATTCTACTGTACATCAATATATCAATATGCCTATATATAGCTCCATTAATGCATCAACACAAAACTACATAAATACATCAATACTTCACTACATCAATACGTCAATACTATACTACTACTACTACTATAATACAAGTATTTGTGCATACAGGCTGCAATTATTGATACTATGCAATCTCTTAAGCTTTCGCTTTCTCTCTCTCTCTCTCTCTCTCTCTCTCTCTCTCTCTTTTTGCCTGTCCTTGGCAGCAGTTTGTTTGTATTCCCTTAACTGTCTTAGTTAAATGAAATCAAACATTTGATTTATTTGCCAATTGGGATTTGTGTCATGAATTTGGAATTTCGGCCCAATTAGCAGGACAAATGCAGCATGTGCTGCTGGCAAAGCTCTTAATTTGTCAATGCCTGGACGCAGCAGGGAGAGGATGCGGACCAAGGCCAGAAGTGCTGCACGCTAATAAAATGTAAATTGTGAAATCATAAACAAAAGCACATCAGCTGAAATTAATGTATTACATAGAGGCAAACAAAGACAGCAAAATGCAAATGGCGTAAATGGAGGAGTCGAGAACTCCACTTGGGCTGCGAGAAGGAACTTTCAGGCTCTCATTAAGCATATAATTCAATTTTCATTATTGTTGTCTTTGTTGTTGCTGCTGCCGCTTCCGCTGTGACGCTTAAATTTAGTCGACAATATGCAAATGACGCAAACACACACACACATACGTTCGTGTGTATGCTGGCTGTTCTAGTTGACCCTCAAATCCAATCAGAAAACGGAGTGTGTAGCCATGCTTGAAGCAGCTGTCGCCATCTGGAGGCCATTTGCAGATTAGCTGGAAAATGTGGATAGGGCATCGATTAGTCGTTCATGCTCATGCCAAATGACAATGCAATGCGCATTAATATTAATGTACAGAAATGTAGACAAGAAACAAGAAAACTGAAAAGAAATGAAAGCAAAAGCAAACAAAGTAAAAATTTCATTAATGATATTTTAATATGCAAGGAATTTGCACACAAATACAGACACTCACACACACATACACGAGCTCTCGCTCTCTATATTTGATGTGCTTTCACCCCCTCTCACGGCGTCTCTTTCTTCTTCTGTCTCTGTCTAATGAAGTTGAATGTGTTTTGCATGCTCTGTGCCGAGTTTTGATTAATGCGCAAATTGTGGAAGCTGTGAACGAAACAACTTTTAATCAAATTGAAAACTTGAAGATTTCATTGGATTTGCCTTTAATTAAAACCATAGCAAATCCAACATTTAATTGAATGCCTACACATTTGCTATGCATTTATTTAGTTAAGAGTTGTGGCTTGATCAAGAAATCATTTTACTATAATGAAATTCGCATGAAATCAAATTTGCCTCAACTAAATTTGAACTCTTTGATTTCAAGTTAAATGCAAACTTTAAATTCACAATGTTCATTTTAAAACGAAATAGAAATTAAACGAAAATAAAGCGCAGATTTCTCGTTAAAGTTTTCTTTTGTTAACTCGGAAATGAAAGTGGAATGAATTCAGTTGTATAATATTCGGTTATTAGGCGAGCTGCTTCTGGCTTTATGATCCATTAAAGAGCATTTATAGGCTATGCAATTTGCATATGTAAAATATATTTTATTTAAATTATTTATTTTTAGCATATCTACATTTAATATTTATTAGCACGTCTCACGCGCCTGTCTCTGTCACATGTGTAGCAGTTGAAAATAATTAGTCACGGTCTAAATCAAATTCAGATAACGAATCAATTGCCATGGCATCCCAATCAGCGGCATTCATTTCCAATTGGACAGTTGACATGTGCAGGTGGCTGATAATTATTGGATTGCTGCTTGCTCAATGCTGAAGCTGGCATTTGTGAGTTGTAATTCCTATGCCATTGATTATGCAGATCCTATCACAAATTTGTAAGTTGAGAATATGGCTAAGTATATCATAAAATATCATAGAAAAAATATATATGTGTATATGTGTTTGTGTATATTTGTGACGTTTTTGGTCGGCAGTCGGTTAGACAATAAAATAAAATTAAATAAAATTAAATTAAATTAAAATAAGTCTTTTTCTTGATTGCTTCAACCACAAAGCCTACAGATACATACATATATCAGATTTGGGCTAGTAACTAATTAAATTTACTTAATACAAGATTTAAATTATTAAACTTATTGCTCACTGTAAATACTTACATATAAATGTATATCATATACATATATGTAACCTGATGAGTCCGCATCAGCTGCCATTTGGAGTAAAAGTTTTCTTAGTTTTTGCCAGATAATAATCTACGTTTGATGGCCAAGCGAAAAAGATGAAAAACAAAACACCAAAAACAGTTTAAACACTGAGCCATGCCAATTGCAATTTACGTTGGCCACAAAAAGCTTAAAAAACCAAACACAAAAGAAAAAGACAAAAGAAAAAAACTAGTTGTCATTTGGCTTTCGGCTTCGGGTAAAAGTCAAGTTGAGTCATTGGGAAAACTTGCACTTGACAAAGTGAATGCCATGTAACAGCTACGAGAAAACCCACTGAAAATTAACCAAAAAGGAAAATTTTTGTAAATCAAATGCAAAACATGATGACTGGCAATAAGGCTCTTTTGTTGCACATAAAAGATACCCTGTAAATGGCTAACTAGAGCAACCAGGCGGTCTGTGACTAGCGGCTACCCTGTAATGCGTTTCAAGCGGCTGCCATTCATATATACCAGATTCTTATTTAAGGAAAATTGGGTGTATGCTTTAGACTCTATATTACTGGAGGATATACACACATATTAAGAAGATAATATTTATCGCTCTCAAAATTGATAGCTCATATATGACATCATCTTTTATATATATACGTTTTTATTAGATATGAATTGCTATATATAGGTATAAATATATAGCAATTCATATCTAATATTACTTATCTCAATATCTTATCCTTCTCTAATATTAATTCGTTTACACCGATTTTCTTATAGCTACCAAATTCTCAGCTTTAGAAACTCCCCAAACAAACTGCAGTCAGAAGTGTTTCAAAAGTTCAGAAATGTCAAATGCTGCTCGTCTTTCGGTCTCTAGCCAACCGCTGCTCCAACCCCTCCAACTGCAGCGCCGCCTCCTGCTCTACTCACATGAGACTCGGATGCTGGGCAAGTTTCTCAGCTGGCTGGCTAAAGCCAATTTACAGTTTGTGTGCGACGATAATATTTTCCAATGCACTCTCAGCTAAAACCGAATGCTTTAAGCTCAAGACCACAAGGTCGCTACGTGGTCGGCCATTAAACTGGCTAACGGGTCGAATGCTGTGGACTGTGAGTTGGGCAAACAAGGCATCTTAAAATTTGGTAACCTAAGCTCTGCCAAAATGTGGGTCAATCTTAAGCTGGCCAAATAAATGGCCAAAACGGATGAACTGGATCAGCCAAAGCAGTCAGGCAAACACTTGAAAAGGGTTCTCATGTAGCATATTGAAGAAAAGCTGAATAGGCAAACAAGTGGT